AGAGAACCTAACTTGGGGGCAGGGTGCAGATGGACTGTGTGAGGACTGAGTTTCCCCTCCAGATGGCTCTGGGGGGCCAGGGTGGAGGGTGGGGGTTGGGGCGTGGTGAACATGTGAGCCCTCTGTTGCTTGAGCTCCCAATTTCCCATGGGAATTCAGAACTACGGACTTCAAAAAAAATTTTTTTTAATGTTTATTCATTTTTGACAGAGACAGAACGTGAGTTGGGGAGGGGCAGAGAGAGAGAGGGAGATACAGAATATGAAGCAGGCTCCAGGCTCTGAACTGTCAGCACAGAGCCCAACGTGGGGCTCGAACCCACAGACTGTGAGATCATGACCTGAGCCAAAATCAGTCACCTAACCAACTGAGCCACCCAGGAGCCCCAGAACTACAGATTTTAAAGCAAAATTTCTAGATTTCTTTTTCTGGATTTTTAGGTGCTGGGAACGAATTTAAAAGTGTAAAATCCTACTTGATATTTAATATACAAAAATCCCTACGTACACAGTACTACTTAAGAAGAGAAATAAAAAAAATTCACTTGTCACCACTCTACAACTCTTTATTCTGAAAACTCGTAAAGAGAAGGCATCAAGCACCTTATCTGGTCTCTCCTGTAGGAACGGTGTTTCACAGTAACCAAATGGTCTAGGTTTTGAGTTTTCCTTTACATGTAAATTATAACTAACAGACCTAAACAGATGGTAGAAAAAGTCATTTTGCAACCTAACCTCCAATTAAATAATTAATTCAGGCAACAGTCACCAATGAATGTTAAATCATTAAGTTAAAGGCAGATTCAGGGTGCCCAATACTTGGTCACAGCTTATTGCTGGTAATGAGGGTGGAAAAGCATCTTTTCAAGAAAGGGATCAGATAGTAACCACCTAACTCCTTGATTAATCTTAGCAAGGAGACAAAGATTAGGGACATCCTGAGGTGGTACTCTGAAGTTCAGTGTCACTCGTGGAGGCTGCTTGGGGAAAAACTGAAACCTGAATCTAAGCAAGCCTAATTAACCAGCTGTTAGAAATCTAGGGCTAGAGGAAGAAGTTAAACTGTAGCATACAGGAGCCATCAAAAAAGTATCCCAAAGATGGGGCATACCTCAGGACCTGGTTTCTTCAATAAGTCAAGGGCAAGAGAAAAACAGAGGAAGAAACTCTTCCAGATTAAAAGCAGAGGGTGATCTTTTAGACCAGTGCTATCCAATAGAAACATAACATGGGCCACAAATGCCAGCCCCTACAGAATCTTAGATTTTCTAGTAGCCACGTTAGAAAAGTAAAAAGAAACACCTGAAATATATTTAATATATTTTGTTATATCCATGACATCCAAAATATTATAATCTCAACACAGAATCAATATAAAATTGTTAATGAGCCATTTGACATTTGCTTTTGGTACTGTCCTCGAAATCTGGTATGTTTTGTACACTTCTAGCATGTCTTAATTTGGACTAGCCACATTTTAAGTGTTTGTAAGCCAGAGGCTACTTGTGGTCAGAGGCTATTGTAGGGAACAGCATAGTTCTAGACCTAAAAAGGAATAACAGCTAAATGCAACAGGCATACCGTTTGGTTTGTAATCTGAACAAACCCGTTGCTAAAAAAATATTTTTAGAATAATGGGGGACTTGTAATATCGCCTGGATATTGGATGATACTAAGGAATTATTCATTTTTTAAAAGCATGATAATGGTGTTATAGTTGTGGAAGAGCATATTTTTACTTTTTAATGAGGCATACTAAAATATTTGGGAATAAAAAGTGTCACAATGTCCATAATTTACCTTAAAATACTTTGGCAAAACAACAGTAGCAACCCCACCAGTAGCAAAATATTCACAACGGTTATCTTTGTCTCTTTCAGATGGAAAATTTTAGGATGCCAGCTGCATATCTGCATTTGAATTCCAGGGCTCTGGGAAAGGAGAAGCAGATACAGCAGCAAACAATAAACTCACTCTAATAGGACTTTTCTCCTCTCTTCTGGGAGGAAGGTCCAGGAGGACCTGCAGCCAGGGGGAGGCTGTCTGGAAGGCCTGCAGGACAGAGCTTTGGCTGAGGCAGAAGGACCCGGGGAAGCCCGACCTACCCCGCCCGGGGCTTGGGGGGGGGGGGGGGGGGCTCCAGGCGCCAAGCCTGTCACTTACCGGACTCCCGTCTCCGGGCAGGACGCATCCAGCACTGTCCTTCATTAGCACTAATGGAATTTCAAGGTCAATGACCAGTCATAAACATCAGCCCTAAATTAAGTGTATCTGAGGCTCCTTGCCCAGAGGATTTTTTCTTTTTTCTTAAAAGCCAAGTTGCTTGGGAGATAGGGGAGTGTCAAAAATATGGTTAACCTTTCAAGATGAAAAAATTATCAATTCTATTGATTTAGATCATAACTCGCTTCCACTTAACTCATCAAAAAGGACCGTCAATTTTAGAAATAATGTATTTCTCAGTCTTACGTGGAGTCTCTCACCTGCCCCTCTACCCAACTCTTTCTCCAGGCAACTTTTTTCTCAAGTCCACTGGGCACACCTCCTACAAGAGATTGACTGGGATCTGGCTACTTTGCTGACAACACCAAAATGCCACACACCTCACCTGTGGTGCTTTGTATTATTGATAGTGGCCTCTCTGCCTGTCATTTCTCCCTGTCTCCTTCCAAACAGCTGGGAATACCCCTGTGATCCTTGTCATACAACATGACTAATATGTTCAGCTTCAGAGGTACAAAGGAGACAGAAATAAATGAAGGGAGTACTAAATAGGAGTTTTTCTATCCCTCCAGTGGGATGATGAGTAACTAGGAACAGACGGCCCCCAGCATTATTGCTTAATCATCATCAGGTTGAGGGCCTGAAAGACTAAAAAACAATCTGAAATCAACACCCTATCTAAGGTCAAATGTAGAGTGAGCTTAGGTTCCAGGGTCAGAGTCAACAGCAATTTCTAGCTAAGTCGTAGTGTTCTCACACCTTGAGATTTACAAGCCAGATTTTAACAGCTCCAACACCTCCTGCTCAGCTCTGTCTTGTGCTTCCTGCCTTGACTGTATACATCAGCTTGCTCCCTTGCCTACTTCCCAATCTGTGTGTGGCACGGCAGGAAACGAAAGGACTGGTTCCTGACATAAATCATAGTCAAAGCCCCCTATTTGTTTCTTATTGATATTCCATGCTGAAGAATCCCAACCAGAACTCCAAACAAGGCACCTCTGGCCACAGACACTAATGACAGGTTTTTCCAAGATACTGTCTGTATTGAAGAAAGACGGCCATAGCCCTTCCACCATGCCCCTGTGGCTCCCTGCCAGCCTTCTCTCTAAATCCTGGGGTCTGTTGTAATGTCTCCTGCTTCCCATCAAAAGAAGAAAAATCTGGTATTGCCTTTATGTCCATATTATCTCTAGAAGCATACCCTCCACTATGGAAGGTTTTGGTGTGTGAAAATCTAATTCCTCTTGAGAGAAGCCAAGGAAACCTTTGTGATGTTATTGTGTAATTTTTCTCCCCCAGGCTGGAAGGGTTAGCTTTATCAAGCTAATACAATCTTTTCTCCCAAGACAGACTAACTCTGACTTTAAACAATCTGTGAGTAAATAGCTCAGCCTTCCCCCAAGTCTCTTTCCATTCATCTCAGCTGAGGAATGAGGGAATATGGATTATCATTTTGATTACAAATATATTTCTATCTAGAGGAAGATCTACAAAGGGCTAAAGTCACCTCTATAAATTTAAAGTCTCCAGTTAGCCTTGAAGAGTTAAGCTCTCCCCCCCCCCCCCCCGCTTTTTTAAACATCCTGGTGCTTCAAAGATGTTATATTAGATAGATGTCACGTTGATATAATAAACAGCAATGCCAAATCTACTGAATTAAAGGAAAAGAGAACCACACGCTGAGATTTTCAGATGAAATCAGGTAATGACAGGGAAGAAAAATGAAGCCGCACTTAAAAACGGCTTGAGAGTCCAAAATTCAAGGTGTGGAGAGACTCATAGCAGGAGAAATCTCAACTGTGCACTGTGTTCATCTTACATATATATGCATTTCTGCCTAGTGTTCCGACTTGGGTAAAAGCAAAAGAAAATGAGATTTAAAGGGTCCCTGGGGCTAGTAATACTTTGGTAAAGGAAGTTCGTATATCAGTTGTCACTGAGGCCCCAGCCATGTTGTCAACGGCTGCAGTGAGGTGAGGGCTTTTAGAAGATATTTTATAAGAGGTTTGTGAACCCGATTTGCGTTTCCAACAACTTCCTTGCACTTGCCATTAATTATAGTCAGGTGGAAGAACTGAGCTCTCAGCGGTGTGGATCCATGGACAGACGTGTGGCGTGGCTACAGCTTCCCCAAGGATTGATGCGGCAATGCTGCATTGGGCCTGGACAGGGGGTGGTTCTTCCTAAAGCTCTTTGGAAAAGAAGACGTCACAGCCTCAGTGATGCATCCAAGGTTATATAGGGACGGTAAAACTCTACTTTTGTCTAGCTCAAAGAACCCTGGCTTTAATTTGTGCCCATTTCATTTTTTTCTTAAAAATGTTCTGCCCCAGCCATTCCACTTCTAGAGATTTATCCTATAAATATACTCAGAGTAATGTACAAAGATAGATGCATAAGGATGTTTACTACAATACTGTCTCAGCAATGCTAGAAACAACTTAAATCTCTATCAGTGATTGCCTGGTTAATGTTAAACTAAATTCTAGTGCATCTTGACAGGAGAAGACCAAGCAGTTTTTTCAAAGAGAATTCTGTTCAGACATGGAAATGTTGCCATGATATGTTAAGTGAAATAGCAAACTTGCAAACAATATATAATCTGATTCCATTTGAACAGGCATAGAAACTTTCTGGAAAGATACTCAAGCTTTTAATAATGGCTATCTCTGTAGAGAGGAACTTTTATATCGTAAGATTAGGTAATACCTGATTTTTATAAAAATAATATTGTTCTTTGTTTTCTGAAAGTGCCTTATTTAATAAAGATAAGTTGAACAACATGCTAGGCTCTTCTTTTCCGGGTTAAATACCACCAAGTGCCTTAATTTTTCAACAATAAATTATATTTTGGATTCTATATATTATTGTTTAAAGTCACTTCCTCATTGATAAAAAGTGGGAACATAAAAGCCAAGAACTTTTTCCCATGACATGTTTTGGTGATCTACTCTCAAAATGATATTACTTAATATGCTTTCTTCTATTAAAGGACTTCACTTTGAGAAAAGTCAATGTTCATAATCAGTAGTACACACTAAATGATTTAGAACGGATAAAATCAAATGGGGGTTTTGGCTGTTACTACATGGGAGTGACTGTCATTTCTTTCCAGCATGAATCTATAGAACGCAGTTTCTGGAACAGCAAACTCTCTGTAACAATGACCTTGATTCTAGAAGATAAACAGCTTTGGGATGTCTAGTTCCATTTGGACAGAATTCTAGAAGAGGAAAATAAAAGGCTACAAAGTAAGGAAGTCAAACCTGCCTTCGGGGAAGATAAACATGCTGACTGGATGCATTTGGCTTCTTTTTGGGAGTGAAAGGTTTCAGCAACCTGGAGCCCCCACAGCTGTGGAGACCCTGCTTCTATGAACTTCCCCTCTCCACGATGCTGCACAACAGCTTCGTACACCCAGCCGATTTTGCAGAGAGCAAGCACAACTTAACTAGAGCCTGGGAGGATAATCTCAGAATGAATTATTCACCACTGAGACAATTGTGGCTGCACAGAGGGAATACAGATGCCCCCTGTGGGGCTACATCTCACCAACTTCCTTATTCAGTTTTAATGCGCTTTCCAGCCCTCGTGAGTGGAGAGTGTGGGCATTCAGGGGGTTTCCACGTTGCTTCCCAAACCGCTGCCTGCTTTCTCCCTCCTCCAGGACAAGCTTACTTCTCTACGAGGGGTGTGTGTGTGTGTGTGTGTGTGTGTGTGTGTGTGTGGTCTCTTCCCTTAAAACCTCTTTTGTGTAAGTCAGTTTCTCGGTCTCTCTCTCTTTTCCTGGCTTAAACAGAGTTTCTCTCCCTATATATTTTTTTAAATAGGAATCACAGACACCCCACACTCAGCCTTCCGTGCTGCACTCACTGATCTACTAGTTACAAAGCATTGCACATTGCATCACTCACTCATCTACAGTTCACGGAATACCTGCAATCTTCTCACCAGGACACCTGGCTATGCCCCGTCAGTGGGGGAGTAGCTTAGCACAATGACTGAATGCAGAGGCTCTGGAACTGGACTGCTGGAATTTGATCCCAGGTCTCAGATTTAAAACTCGATTTCCGCCCCCCTCAAAATCTGTGCATTTAGATATCATCTGTCACGTGACACGTGGAGGGCAAATGATAGAAAACCTCAAAGGGGATATTTCCCTGCACGTGATCATGCACAGAAAACAGCTTTCCTTTTTCTTCTCTTCTCAGTCTTCCTGAAAATGCTAGCAACAGCACACTCTTCATGTTCCCAAACACCCTATTTCCTCCACCCCAGAGGTGCTCACTGGGGCTCATCTATTCACCTCACGTGCAAGATGAAGAGGGCAATTTTATGTAGTAAAGATATATGGGACAAGCCAACCTCAAGTTCACGTCCGTTAAAGCATTTCTCTGTTGGCAACATTTTTACAAGCCTCTCACAGCTATATGCTTAATTAAAATAAAAGGGTGATATACATCATTGCACCAAGTCCTTGCTGATGTAGAGGAAGGAGCGGGGGGGAATGAGTGCATTAGTTTTCCTTTATTAAAAGAGTTATTTCAGCATGACATCTCAAATAAAGACTAGCCATTAGCAAAATTAAAAATTAGGTGAAGTTGATTTTGGGAACTGCACACCATTAGTGCCCTACTCTCGTCTCCAGTGGCATCGTCTTCCGTCCCTGCTCCAAGCTGCTTCCCCACCCCCACTCTTGATCTGCAAGTTCCCCAAACTGATTATCATAATGATGGAATGACAAGCAGAGGGACAACAGTTTATAACTCTGCCTGATGTTTACATTAAATAGGAAAAAAGTTGGTCAATCTTTACTGAGCACATACTATGTGTCAGACACTATTCTAAGTACTTTATCCATAAAAGCTTGTTCATTTATTTTTTAAAATGTTTTATTTATGTTGAGACACAGTGTGAGCAGGGGAGGAGGACAGAGAGACAAGGGGCTAGAGGATCCAAAGCAGGCTCTGTGCTGACAGCAGTGAGTCTGATTCGGGGTTCTAACTCATAAACCACGAGATTAAGGCTTGAGCTGAAGTTGGACACTCAACTGACTGAGCCACCCAGGTGCTTAATTATTTAACTCCCCCCCCCCCAAATTATTTAACCCCCTTTGGGAGTGTGGGAGAAGGAAAGTAATATTTACTGAACATCTGTCATATTCTAAATGGATTCTGTGAGTTTTCTTTGTTAGTATTCATAGCAATATGCTAATACTCATATTAATAAAGTTAACTCCATTTTACAGATGAGCAAACTAAGGATTTCAGAAGTTAAGCAACTGGCCCCATTCTGTAGTGTTACCGTGTCAAGGAGCAAGGTTTCAAAGGGAGGTCTTGGTCTTTGCAAAGAAGATCAATCCTACGTAGGCACAATAAGTGGAGTGTGTGAACCAATATGAATTAAAATCTGCAGAGGTGGGAATGTGCACCATGGGAATGTGCTCAGACCAAGACCAAGAGGTTTGGAAGGGGAAGAGTGAGAGATCAAGGTCACAGAGAGGGGTGGTTGCAATTGCAGATGGTGGAGCTGAGTTGACAGCTCATGTACTTAATTAGGAAAGAGCAGGACTCATAGGAGAGAAGGAGTCAAGGATGATTCCAGCCTGGAGTCTTGATGACTGGGACAATGATAGAGAGCCCATAAGCAGAAACAGAAGGAGGGGATTGAGAGTGTTCTGGGGAAAGGGTTTAACAGATCATTAGATGGAAGAAACAAGGAAGGGTAAAACAAACTGATACTCAGAACATTCTACTGGCCAGAGGCCTGGGCATTAGTCTTGATGCTTCCCTCTCCTTGATTCTTGTACCCATCCAATCACCAGGCTCTATCATTTACACTTCCAAGTGTCTGTGCAATCGACTTGTCTATCCACTGGCCATATTCTCACCTGAGCCATCACCATCTCTTCTGGGGCTACTCCAAAGCCTCTGTTCCCTGCAATCAGCTCTCCTCCCTGGAGCCAGAGAGCTCTTTCACAAACATAAACATCATTAGGTAACTTCCTTATAGCTTTTAAAGGCTTCTCAGTGTCCTTAGACTAGGCCAGGTGTCAGCAAACTATGGCCCATGGGCCAAATCCAGCCTGCTGCCTGAAACAAGGTTTTCTGGAACTCAGCCTCCTGTTTATGTATTGTCTATGGCCGCTTCTGTGCCACAATAGCACAGTTGAATAGTTATGATAGAGATTGGCCCTTTACAGAAAACACTGGTCAACCATGGATAAGAGTCCTTAAACTGGTCCACAAGACCCTGCCTGATTGGACCTCTGCCTAATTCTCCAGTCTCCCTTCGTGTCACTGATCCCCTTGTTCTTGGCACTTCAGCCATTCTGGCCAACTTCCAGCTGTTCACAGGGGCCACAGAAAGGGATTAAGTGGCCATGTATTGGCATGAGTATCCTAACTCTAGGCCTTTAGGATGAAGGGCATCCCTAGCTCCCGTCTTTGTCTGGCTTCCCTTCCTGTGTCCTGCTTCTCGCCTGTAGCCAGTACCCTCCACACTCTCCCTCCTTCATCCTCAAATCCCCCTTTTAGCATAGGAGCCCAAATCAACCACTGCACCTCTTTTCAACTCAAGCCAGTGTAATGAATACAGGAACATTTGAGTTTTGAGTCTTTAGTCTAAATGAGAAAGTCTTTTCCTTTTTAAAAAAACCTTCTAAAGATCAGTGAGCAGGTGGGAGGATTTGGCAGAGTGGAGGGAAAAGGTAGAGAAAGCCCTTCCTCATATCCCTGAGGTTCCATCATAGAGGAAAGCAGTGGTATCTTCCACCGAGGAGATCACCCCCAATTTCAGAGCCAGAAACAATCAGTATTGATTGAACATCTTCTAGGAGTCAAGAACAGTGTGAGGAATGTTTGCTTGTTATTTTGTGCTGTGCTCCTAAACCACCATGTAAATGAGCCTGGGATTCGTTACAGGTTAATAGGAGCTACTCTAGAGAGTTTGAACAAGACGACCAACAATTTTATAAGCATCTATTGATATTGTAGCAAATGGGATTAAATGCTTACTAACTTGTCGGATGGCTCCAGGGAGCAATACTGCAGAACTGGCCAGCCAAAAGAGCTATTACAGTGCACAAGCTGGGGAAGCAGGAGGCAACTGCCCCAAGAGCCGGTTCCAGAGTCAGACCATCTAGCTGCCAGAGGGGGATTTTAAAAGCTTTATCCAGAACAGTTGGCTCTGTATCCACACCAGCAAGAGGGATCCCTGGCAGGACTCCTCTCTTCCCAGTAAACTTAGTTCTGGATTCTAGTCTTGCACAAGCGTATCAGGTGGCAGATATTAAATCACCCCAGAGCTGCAGTAGGGTCTGGGAGCTTCCATCTTTAGCTTTGCCGTCTCTACATTATAGAAAAGTACACAAAGAAGAAGTTAGAATGAACGTGGAATTAGGCAATATGTAGAATGCATAAAGGGGGGGGGTTGCTATTTCCCTGATTTTATAGAAGCAGAAACCAAGGTTCTGAAGGTGATGTGCTTGGTTTCAAAGTCAAGTCCAGGTTTGTCAATTCTAAGCTTCTTTGCTTGTTCTAATACAAAGAGAATGTCATTTGTTATATTTAAAAACAGTAACCAAGTAAAGTCTAGGTCCTCTTACTGCCCCAAATGACACATTTCAGAGCTCAGCTAGCTGCTGGAAAACGGATTACAAGTCAGCTGACAGGGTTGGCTGTAAACCCAGGTGGGATCTCCATTGGCTTTTCCAGCAACTCACTATTCAGGAAGTGATTTGCACAGACTACATTCCATCCACCAGGTCGCTCAATGACAACAGTGCTTTTGTTTGGGAGCAGTGACTCAGAAATCAGGATCATCATAAAACGGAAACCCATAGCTCCCCAAAACACAAGAAGACTGAGTCCATCCACCCACCCAACTCAGCCTATGAGGTCCTGAGAAGCTCATCTCTCTGAGAGAACATAGATCTCCGATTTGGGAGATGAGGTTTTCAGGCATAAGCAGACACAAACAGTTATTCACTTAGTCATAACAATTGCCTCGGTGCTACTTCTGAACAGTTCTCCACTGGGCCATCACAGCACCAACCCTGGGAGCCCCACTTTGTGCTTCTACCCTTCAATTCATCTTTCCTACTGCCAGATGTATATTTCTACAATCTGATCTATGTTAATGCCTTGCTCAAGAGCCTTTCAGCTTTTTATTGGTATGTCATAAAGTCCACTCAACAACAAAAATACCCAATTAAAAAACAAAGGACTTGAACAGATTTTTCTCTAAAGAAGATATACTAATAGCATATGGAAAGATGCTCAGCATCGCTAATCATTAGGGAAATGAAAAGCAAAACCACGATGAGATACCACACTATCTCTGTTTTAGGATGACTACAATTTTAAAAAGAATTCCTAATAAGTTTTAGAGGGGATTATGGAGAAAGTGGAACCCCTGTGCACTGTTGGTGGGAATGTAAACTGGTGTAGCTGCTGTGGAAAATGGTATGGCAATTCCCCAAAAAGTTAAAAATGGAATTAACATATGATCCAGCAATTCTACTTCTGGGTATATACCCCAAAGAACTGAAATCAGGGTCATGAAGAAATGTTGTACACTCATGTTCATAGGAACATGTTTTACAGGTCAGAGGATGGAAAGAACACAAGGGTCCATTGCAGGATGAATGGATAAACAAAATCCTGGTATGTACATAGACTGTTATTGGGCCCTTAAAAAGGCCCTTTGCTTAAAAGGAAAAACTTTGGACACATGCTACAACACTGATGAACCTTGAGACGATATTATGCTAAGTGAAATAAGCCAGTCACAAAAAAGCCCCCAACACTGTATAATCCCACTTATATGAAGTACCTAGAGTAGTCAAGTTCACAGAGGCAGAAATCAGAGTGGTGGTTTCCAGGGTCTGAGGGTGGTGGGGACATAGGGAGTTGTTATCTAATGGGTATAGAGATTCAGTTTTGTAAGATGAAAAGAGTTCTGGAGATTGCTGGCAGAACAATGTAAATGTCCTCAATAATACTGAACTACATACTTAAAAATGGTTAAGATGTGATGTTATGTATGTTATACCACAATTTAAAACTCTTAAAACCTTTTACTTTTTCCAATGGCTAGTGGCTTCTTATCATTTATGTTTCAGCTTTACCTTTGAGAGAAACCTTCTCTGACCAATGCCCCATAGAAGGGCCCCTCCTTATTCTGTAGCTCATTTCCTTTATGGCACTTATTGAAACTTGCATTTGCATCATGAATTTCCTTGACCGTTAGGACTTAAGTCTATCTTGCCTGCAAGAATGTAAGCTTTGTGACAATAGGGACACCGTTAACTACAGTACTGTTCACCAACCATTAACTGGAGTACTTGGCACGTTCAGCACCCAGTCAAATGTCATTCCTCTCTGAAGCCCTTCTCATTTACCTAGTGGAATGGATCCCTCCTGTATCTGGTTTGCTTGGCACTTTCTTCAACTGCTGGC